ATTTTAAATGAATAGTTAATAAATAATTTAATGAATTATTAATGAATTTTTAATGAATAGTTTTGATGAATAATTGACGAATAGTTGACGAATGATTGACGAATAATTGACGAATAGTTTACGAATAGTTAACAAAATAGTAGACGAATAGTTTGACGAATGGTTGATAAATGGTTGACAAATGGTTGACAAATGGTTAACAAATGGTTGACAAATGGTTAATGAATGGGTAACAAATTTTTGATGAATAGTTACAAATATAGTTAACAAATAGTTGACAAATAGTGGATAAATAATTGATGAATTTTTGACGAATTTTTAATGAATAGTTTTGATTGTCAATTTTTGTAGTTGCCGATTTATTTATATCATTTTTTTTTATCAAATTGTTTATTTTTTGCTGAATGTTACATGAGTGGTAGTATTTTTTGCCGAATGTTACATGAGTGACAGTATGCTAAATAATTTTTTTTCAACTAGTGTAAACCAATACTAGCCTGGCTAGAAGCTTGGAAAGTTGATATTGGACTCTCTTAAGCTTACTGTGAATCAGTTTGCAAATGTGTTTTCCTTCCCTTGTAAAGTAAAGCTAATGTAATGCTATACTATCAAAACTTCTTTTAATTAATAAAGTGATTTTTGGGGGAATGGTTGGATGTTCTAGTTTGTTGTTAAATCTTGGATCTTTGAGGGATAAGATGTTTTTAGGTTGACTTCTCTTTCCAAGAAAATTACCAAAAAAGAAAATTTTTAAAGAAAAAGGAATCAGTAGAAAAATTTTTTTTAGTTTTTTATATTAAAAAAATTTTTGTTGAATATAAAAAAATATATTATATATGAATTGACAATTTTACAAAACAACAATTTCAAGTATACAAGTTATTTTGCAAAATCATTTCTTTAAACAAAATATGGAAGTTTATGAATAGTTTATATACAATATAAATTTTATAGAAAAAAGAATAGTATGAAATTTGAATAATTTAATATAGATTATAATAAAAGAATAGAATTCTATTTCTAAAAAAACTTTAATTAATTTGATAAACTCAATATAAAATAAAGTAATAACAAATATATTGAGTATTAAAAATAGTATAATAAAAAAATATAAGTTCATATTTTTAAAATTTGATATTTTTATTAAATTAGATTGATTATTATAAAGTTTACATTTATATAAAAATTGTCAAAAATTTTGAGTCATATTGTATATTGATAATTAATTATATAATATTAATTATATAGTAAAAATATATTATTTGCAATTATTGACTTTTTAAAAAAATATTGAGTGGCATTATATTAAATAAATATTTTTTAATTAATGAAACTTTTTTGTTATTGATAACAAAGGTGTTACTTGATTTTATTGATTATTAAAAACCCAGTTTTCGATTAAAGAGAATTATAAACAAAACAAGAATTTTCAAATAATTTAAATGAGTAATTGAAGGCTTATTAGCAAAGAAGTAACCAAACTTTTTATGAACATATTTTTTTTCTTGACACCCTGTAACTTATTAAACCATTGTCGATTTAATAAATTTATTATTGAACCCTTCCTTTTTCATAATTTTGTTTGCCATCCATTTCACCGATTAATTGATCAAACTCAATTAGATTTTCGTCGATATCTTCATGCATGCTTTTTATACATATGTGCTAATGATGATTCTTTTATACTGTAATCTTCAGATTCTTCCCAAAACAAAAAAAAAAAAGCATCAATAATAACTATTAACTACTGTATATCAATATTACCAAAAATAGGGTCATAATGGACAAAAATGGTGATAATTTGCGATAATTCAACACTGGAACATGTAACTTCCCGTTTTATAACCAAATTTTATTTTTTATAAAAAACAATTAATAATTTTAATCTTCTCGTTTATCCGAAATTTTCTCTAAATAATTTACAACCGTCTCCGAACAAAATTTTCCGCGATGCAACCTTTTTTTAAAGCTAATCTTAAAACGTCCCATCGGTTCTAGTATTTCCCGTAGATAATAACTCGAAATTAATTCTTCTACTAACATATATCGCCCCCGGATGCCTCTTATAATCTCTCCTTTGTTCAATTATGTACTTGTCAGCCTGACTAAATGCGTCATCAGGTGTCTCCGAATCCTGTGTAAGATCCCACCAGTGATCAAACATGTTCAACAGATCCCTTGCTCTTGGCCTTTTTGCTGGATTCTCGTCCCAGCATCGCTTTGCGAGATCGATGTACGACTGTGGCGTCCCCTGGGCAAACTCTGGACGTAGGCCGTTGCAGATTTCTAATGCAAGTTGTTCGTCGTGCGCACGATCCACGAAAGGAGGAATGCCTGTAGAGATTTCGGCCATTATTATTCCCAAGCTGTAGATGTCGGCAGCTTTTGTGTAATTTTGACCGATAAGAATTTCTGGGGCTATGTAGGGCACCACTCCATAAAAGCTCTTTTCGCTGTTTCGCGTTTTATTGATCTCATCACTCGCCGGCCTTGATAATCCCAAGTGTGCAAGCTTTGCCACCATCGTACCATCTTTTATCTGACCTATAAGTATATTTCCCGGGTGTAAGTTCCTATGTGTGTATCCGTTTCCATGAATGGTCACCAGATTGCTGGAAATGTTTCGCAGCCAGTATAGTTTGTCGGACCAACTTATATCCGCGAACATCTGGTCGAATACGTAGCGAATGTCACGGAGTGATGCAAGTTCGGTAACCATCGCGTAATCCTTTGTCTTTGGATCTTGGGTGATCCCAAAGAAACGCAAAAATCCGTGATCATATTTTACATTGTCTTCGATGGGTGAGGGTGTTGAGATGCAACGGTAATGGGTACGTAGCTAAATGAGAGAAAATCTTTTTAGTCGCGGCTCACGCAGACCGGCAAATGATCACATTCAAACTCAAACCTCATTGATAAAGCTTTCAGACATTTCCTTTGACCCTCTAAGTTTCTTCAATGCCACTGGCAGCGATTTATTCTTGGGTGGCCACGAGATCCGTTTCTCGATGTCGCCCCATTCGGCCGAGTACACCTCACTGAAACCACCTTCGCCAATCTTTTTAATATTATCCAACTTTTCGTAGGGAATCCATTCCAGGTAAGGATCCATCCAATTTCGAGTGCTTCGCTGAGTTTCTTTGATGAATTCATCAATGCCGACATGATTGCTGGTCCAACCTCTAGTCAGGCGACGGGTATCACATTTGCACCATAATTCTTCGTTGCGAAAGCGACGCCAGTGGAAGAAAAAGTATTTACATTTTTTCCGAGTTTCAAGCGTGCGTGGACGTGACGTTTTTGTGTCCATTGTGCATGAATGAGAGGTAGATTTGTTTGCGTAAATAAATGGGTTGTGGATTGGGAAGGTGTGATATGTATCTCTAACCCTGAAATTACCGAGATTCTACGGTTATCTTGAAAAAAATCGAATACCTTTTAAATTACATAATCATATAAAAACAAAAATTCGGTTTGTCAAAAAAAAAAAAATGAAAAATGAAATGAAATGAAAAAATGAAATACAAAAGAAAAATTTTGCTGAAAGATAAATTACACAAGTATTGAAATTTTTTTTGTTCTGATGTGAACCAATTATTAAAATAAACTTGTGCGTCCCGTAAACGGCACTCATTCGGAAAAATCCAATTTTAAATACCAATTAGAGTGCAGTATGCACGATCGTTGGGACAAAGAATTTCAGACCCAGATTCCGAATAATCTATTTCTTTGCTGCTCGGCGGACCCGGCAGCAATGATCCATTGATAACATCCATCTTCTGATCACGTGACACGCCAATGACTCCCTCTCTCGAACCTTAATTCTGACCATATATTGTAACGTTTCATTAAAAGATTAGATTTCTTACTGTAAATTTATGCATAATTTTTCAATGTCACGCATGTGCAATCATTTCCCGTAGGGGAATCATCTCACATCGCACCACTGCTAAAGTGTGTGATTTCCCTTTGCGCGCATGACTGTAGAATAATCCGGAAGTGGTGGCTTTCAATATTTGAGATCGCAAGAATTGTAAAGCTATCCATCTCGCCGTTTCAAAAATGGGGCAAAGGAATTTGAAGAAGATATGCTTATTGTTCGTTAATGTTCATTCTATATATGGATGGATAAGAAGGCACTTTGTTAAGAACATGAGCGAGCATTGAGGATGGTATATATCGGTAATTGGTGTTAGACTTATCTCTCAATCAAAATTCACATAATATTTCATCTCTTATACTATATCTTGGAACAAGAAGTTCTGTACAATGTAAATATTCTTATTTTTCTTTTGACGAAATTTGATGCAACAAATAATTACGCATCAATAACATTGTACGTAGACGCCGAGCCCATAATCAATTTCCGGCAACCGAGTTTTTGTATCCCCAATAAACCTTTGACCAATGAGAAATCATCACACGCAGTGGATGTCGCCGGCTGGTTCCACATTATCTCATTTAGAGACAAAAAGTTAGCTTTGGCTAGTCAAAGTGCACAATACACAAGTACGTATCACATATCTGTGTCACCAAGTATGCGTGTCTACTTAGACATTAAGTGAGAAACCTCGGATTCGTGAATGAGAGCTTCACGGACAATCTCGGATTCCAGAGTCGGTCAATTGCAGGTCAAATTTGGTCCTTTCTTTTTCTTCCTTGAAGAGAAACAGACGTTACTCAACGGCTCATAATCAACCCACAATAGAAACCTTTTTGTCAAACAAAGGATTTCCAAGACTGGTAAAACCAGTCATCATTGATCATTGGACTGAACCGGATGGACCGGCCGAACGAACCTAATTCATTTGCTCGTCGACTCGGTTCAAGTTGCTAAAAGCATATCACGTGCGTGTCTTGCACAGCCCCCTTATCGCGACGTCCACGAGATTAAAAACATTCATGCATCCAACAGGTATTTTCTATGTAACAAAAACAAGTGCCATTTAAAGTCACCATTGGCTCTCAAAGGGTATTACGCATGTATACGTATATAAATGTTTGCTGTCACACTCTATTCTCCCTACTACCTTTAATCGCAATTATCATTACATGGAAAGCTTCTATAATTTGCCGAGCGAGTGTCTTCGCGAGATATTTTCATGTCTGGAGAATGAATACTCGACCCTTTATAATTGCCTGTTCGTCAGCCGTACCTGGTGTCGACAAGTGGTCTCCATATTGTGGCGTAACCCTTTTCGACACAAAACTTTTCGGCCAAGTCCTTTTTTCAAACAAAACAACAATTCGTATTCTCTGTGTACGACTTATCTTTCTGCGTTAAATGAAGAAGAAAAAAAGATATTACATCCGTATGACAGTCGTCATAACCTCCCACCCCCATTATTCCAATATTCATCATACCTAGAGAAATTCTCGTTTGAGAACATTGAGGCCATAGCGGAAAGTTGGATTAAACACGAGGAAGCATTTGAAATACCGCACGACGAATGCTGCAACAGGATCAAGTTGATCATGGCCGCCATTCTTCAGTTGTTTTTGAGGACCAGCTGCCCAAAGGACGTTAGGGTCTCTTACGGATATCGCTCCTATGATATTCTAGGAGGCATCCCATTCTCCTCCTATCAACCCGGATTCTCACGGTTAATAAATCTGGCGGTCGGTGTGACCGGTTTTCACCCGACCCCAAATCTCATAGAGTTGCTGAAAATTCTTCCAAAACTGTCCACCAATCTTAAGGGATTGGAATTTGTCTTCGACGAAGACCTCTATCAAGAACAGTCGGTCATCGACCTATTGATCGACATCATGACCGCACAGTCTAACCTGAAAAAAATCTCTTTGGAAATCTCTAGTGATTTTTACTCACCCACGACGAAAAAGTTTATATCGGCGTTGAATTGTCAGAAGGAATCGCTAACTTCGCTCTCCCTGTACAACGTCGACTTCTCGAGTGTAAGTTTGAATGGAATTGCGGAATGTACGCTGTTGGAATCCATGGAAATCTACTATTGCCGTGGAGCCAAGAACCATTCTTGTGCGAAATTTTTGCAGTCACCGATTCAGCTCAAGAGTTTGGCGTTCGACGGAAATGATTTCAAGGACGTCACACTCATACCCGCGTTCGTCGAGAAGGCGGGAAAAACGCTGGTGTGTCTGAGTATTGACAATTTGTCGGATGAGACGATAAAAACATTGATGAAGTGCTGCCCCAACTTAACCGACTTCACTCTGCTATGCAATGACCAGGAGCTCGATGCATTTCTGGATTATCTCAAAGGGTCGAATATAAGTAAATTGACTGTCGACTCTTCGGAAATTTGTGATTCGACCGAGTTGTTGGAAGTATTGGGTGATTACATTCCTCGTAATTTGGAGAAGATAAACCTTTTCAGCTCCTTTAGTCCGGATTCTTTTGAAAGATTCCTGTCTGATTATTACAAATCGACATCCAAGTCATTGAGGACTCTATGCATCAAGGATGTCACAGGCGATAATTATCCGAAATATCTCAAGGCAATTGAATCCCACGCGGTTTTTGGAACCACGTTGAAAACCGTGTTGATATCATCCACGGTTGAGATAACGGAGGAGATATCAATCCTTCTACGAAATATTAAACGATTGAGAATTAATGCTTCTTTTGTGGAAGATTTTTAGTTTTTCGTTGGTGATGGCTGTTTTCTGTCTCTTGGTTTCAAGATGCGGTGGCTTGATTATACGTATAATAAATTGTATTTTATATTTTGCGTTATGCTGATGGTTTTTTGTTTTGACGTTTAAATAAATCGGCGAGCCTTTATAATCAACGAGTGCAAGCGAATGCATCATTTGTGAAATTCAAGATGTTTTTATTATTGTTTCAAATGGTCCGGTCTTGCGAATGTAAGGTGAACTCGATTATTTTACACATGGCATATATGTATATGTATCCGTATGTCTATATATACTGTATATATTTTTAAATGTCTTCGTTTTTAAAAGCACACACACAATACCATCACTGTTTGATATTCCCACGCGTTTTTGCACACACAGCACCTGATAAAGTCATGCGATGTGCGATTCATCGTAATTTTAATTTAGGTGTCGGCGTTGAACGCAAATCCAACTGATCTTTGTTCCAAGTCATACACGGAGTAAACGTTCTTTAAAAATGTCGCACCGACGAGCCACGTGTCGGATCCGTTTATGGCACCAACCCCAATGTTCGAGATGCATTCGTTTCCACCAATTGCAGCAAAGATCAAGTCTACGGGAGGGATTTCATAGTCCACGCCGCCAAATCTGAAAGCGACTACGGCGGTGTTATCGCACGGGATGATGAAATAATATTGGCTGCGAGCCAACCTGGATCCCGGAATCAACTCGTGAATTGCCTCGGCATCGGCTAGGGGAAGGTAGATCAAGGTGGTGCCAGTATCGGTGATAGCATTTTTGCCGACAAAACCGATCGGTTCGTCATCGACAAGAGCGTCATCCACGTCAATCTGCCAAAAACCGTAAGAGTTGATGACCGGGTTGAACGTGATCTCACCTCGAAATTTGCTTTGGTCAACGCCGCCCAGAGTGATGGATGATTGGTCGCTAAAATTCAAATAATGAGAAAGGTGGATCCCAAAGATTGGATCGATTTTTTGCTGCAGTATCAAATTGGAGATCAACGACGGAGCCGCCATGGTATTCAAACTATCGAATCCCAAACCTAAGATTCCGTCGAAACTGTATGGCATGAAATCGTCGGTTTCGTAGATGGTGAGACCGAAAGTTTGACCTTCGGAAATAACTCCGGCAATCTCGACATCATCTTGACCGACGACACCAAACACCGAAGAATCACCGGTAAAACCATAGAAGATAATCCACAACGCATTGCTCAATTTAAAGGTCGAGGATACTGAAGAATCAAATCTATTGCGCATGAAGCAAGTCGGAGAAGTGCAATCTTTACTTGGAATCCAGAGATTCGAAGAACCGGTGTCCAGCAACACATTGAAATTTTGCCCTCCCACCGAGATCTGAACGTAATAACAGTAATCCAGACCATCATCTTTCGCATACGTGCTGTAGGAATTATCCGCGTGAGACGAGTTGTACGTTCCCAACTCGAAATACGATCCTTCCACGTAAGACTCTCCTGTGCCCGAGAATTTCTGTGCGTATTTATTTAAGGCGAACTGAAGTTTGCTTTGGAATAAGGCGATAGCACTAGTTGGATCCGAAGGAGGTGAAATTGGAAGCGCATGCAGGCCAATAATAGAGGCAGCGGTAGCAAGAACGATGAAATAGACGACGAGTTTCCTCATGGTTTTATGAAAGATTTTCAACGAATTTAATTAAGAAGATGGCGGAAGTGTGTCGATGGGAGACGAATAAAAAAAAACTCATCTTTGTGTTCATCTGTAGTTACGGTCATTAATGGGATGACGTATTATGTAAATTCGAGGGTTACCCGCGTTTAACCACAAAGATGTGGACTGCATGCGCACACGAGTATCTGAGGAGGAGAATAAACAAATCTCCGATACGCAAATAAACAAATGTGCTAAGCAATGCAACTATCTAAGCCATCGCAGAATATGATGTTAACAAAGAAGAGAAAAGAAAAAGAAAGAAAAATATGGCACATGAATTATTAGGTTATGTTGTTTTCTCGAATGACAGTTGGTTCACACCAAGTGACACAAGAAGTACGGGCACGTGGCGTAAAGGCATAAATAATTATTTTTTAATTTTAACATCGTTCCCATTTTTAATTGAACAGAAACCCGACTGCGTATTGAAATGATTCAAGATTACGCATCGCCCCTCTCCTCTTCTAATCTATCATCTTGCCGCGACAAATTCGACACCGTACCTACCGTTATCATCAATCACGCGTCACGTTCATCATTAGTAAGTTAAGTCATTTCTATGAGCAATACCGATACGAGGTGGGCTCGTGCCTTGATCAAAGATCACAAAATAGTTCTAAGAAATCCAACCACGTTAAAAAAAAAAAAAAAAAAAAACTCGACATAAACTCTGCTCAAATAAATTCAAGGTAGCACGTGCCTTTATAAAAATTGCGCCAAAGATCCAAGAAACGTCGTGACTCGTGCAACCGGTGATGCCTAAAACGCAAGTCTCGGGGTCATCTTCCAACTGATTGAAAATCAAATCTTCAATGGGCATCAAAAATCTTTTCCCCTCTATCTCGAATTCCAACGGACCCATGTTTGTATCGATGTCACACGGTATCGTGTAAGTGTCAACGTAAATTTCATCTCGAAGTTCTAAAGATGAAGCGTACTTCGATCCGGGTAATTGGGAAACTATGGATTCGGCGAGATTGCCATCCATCATGATCTGTTGAGATCCGGTATCAAAGGCCACCGGAAAT